TTATATATATTATATAGCTTTTAGCTTAATTTCTGGTTGGTATAGTATTTGTACTAGTTTTTTTTAGACTTTTTTTATCATAAACTTCTATATAGATATAACTAGAGCTCTAATTTAGTACTTTTAGATATACAAAACAGGCTCTTATTTTTCTATGCTTGGTAATTTTTTATAGCTAGTTGTTCTATATATCAGAGATGTTTTCAAATCTAGTAAAGCTAATTCTTTACTACAGATTACTATTATGTTTACTGCTTTTCTCACTACTCTAGTTATATTACTTTACTAAGCAAATATCTAATACTAATTCAAATTAGAACTGATATACACAATCTATTTATTATTCTTCCAAGCAAGTATTCTACAAGTTGGGTGCAAGGATGTTGATGCTATCTAAAGTAAAAGCAAAAAATATTAATATTGTATCAGTTATCTTTTAAGAATTTATACAAGCAATATTCTGTATATAAAACCTTCTATAATATTACTACTACTTGTAGTGCCTATGCTTTACAATATTAATCTTCTTCTAAGAATTTCTATTCTAGTTTTATATCTGTATTTGGACTTTTATAGAAAGATAGTTTCATGATTAATTAAATAGCTCTTATATATTATAGATTAAATTTGTATAATCTAGACTAACTGCTTATTGTTTTATAGTATCTTTTCTCATTAGAGTATTTTATTATAATAAGTTACAAAGTTTATTTTAGCTAGACTTGAATCATTAACCTTTTTTATAAGAGTTTGAGAACTTAATTACTAAGCTACAGAATCCAAAATCTGAAATATACTCTGTAATTATAAAAAAGTCATAAATTAGATATGAAACTTTGTGATACAAGTCCAAGTGAATATAAGTTTAAAGTAAAAATTTTGAAAAAAGATTAATTTATAAAGCATAGATATTATAAATAGTAAGAAAAGCAATAAATATGTGAAAGATCTGTAGAAAAAGATTAGTTTTACTAAATATAGAATATTTCTGATACAAAAAACTCAAATTAAAGTATATAGTTGTATAAACAACCTTTACTTTGATAGAGGCTTAGTTCACAAGTAAAGTAGTCTGAAATTATAATACAAAGTTAGGTTTGTATTGCAGAAAAATATTGAAAGTCAAAAAACTTAAATAAAGAATCTACAAGCAGGTTTTAAATATAACAATTAGCAGGTAACTTGTAGGTAAAATCTTTAAATAAATAATAACTAAAGTTGCATATATGGCTAATTGTAGCTTTACTAATATACAAAATATAATACTTCTATATAAAAATAGAATAATAATCTAATAAAAATAAGATATAAAGCTTCCTCTTTAAACCAAAAAAAAGAATATTTATTGTATTATATTTATAGTTAAATAAATATAATATAAGAAGAGCCAATTACACAACTCTTTCTAATGATTACTTGTACCAAATTTTCTTTACAAACAATCTATGCTTTTAAAAATTGTTTTAGTTTACTTTACAGAAACTAGTATTTTTTTTAATAAGTTTATAATAATATATTTTTTTTTTTAATTTGGCAATCCTGTTACTATTTATTTAAGATTAAACTTTTCAAAAAATTTTGTATAAATTTTTATTTAAAGTTATATTAATATAACCAAACAGATAATTTACCAAGTTTATACTCAATATAATCTGTTTTAATAATCTTTGGTCTTCTTCTAGATCCTTAATTTACTAAGAACTTCTTTTTTCTTCAATCAACAGCTACAATTATGCATCTTGTCAAAACTACTTAATTATATTTAAAACTTTAATATAAAGATACTTTAATTATAACCAGTACTGGCAAACAATGCTAAATATTAAATTACTACTATTATATTAAGTAAATTCTAATCTATTATCTCTATATACTTTGTTAAAATCTAATTTTTTATAAAATTTTTTGTATCTTTCTAACTTTTTATACTATCTCTTTACTTCTTTTCTTTTATTGGTAGTCTGATCTTTATTCAGATTTTGTTTTTTTTTCTAACTTTTTTAATTTTCAAAACAAAATTAGACTTGGGCCTATATTCATTTTTCTTCTTGTAATAAGGTTGAAATTTATCTTCTCTTTAATAATCTGGCTTGTCTTCTGCAATCTTGAAGCTCTATTTCATCTAATGCTTCTTTTTGTCTTTTTAGATCTTTTATTCATATATTATTTTTCTATTTGTAACTTCTTTCTTTTTTAGTTTCTTTGTGCTGATTTTCTATGTTGGCTAAGTCTTTTTTTTCCTTTTCCAATTCTTGACTTCTTTCTTCATTTTCTTTCAATTTGTTGTTTTTTTTTTTTTAAGACTTATTTGTTCGTTTTCATTTTGTTTTTTTTCTTTTTTTTATTTTTTTCTTAAAATTTTGATGTTTTTCTTAATTCTTCTATAATAATTTTCATCTTGTTGTTAATAGGTGGTTTGCTTGTTTCTTTTTTTTAGATTTTTTTTTCACTTTCAAATTCATATTTTTTCTTAGTTTGCTATATTTATTCTTGTGCTTGTCTTTATATTAATTTATATTTTTTTTATATTTTTGCTATTTTTTATAATAAAATCTTAGTCTTTCTATTTATTCTGCAGTTTTTTTAGAACTTATTGTAGATTTTGCATTTCTATTCTATTTTCTATAACTTTTATTTTTTTTAGTTTTATGCTTTATATAACTCTGATTATTCTATATCTTGTTTCTTTGTTAATTTTTTCAAAGTTTAATTTTTTCTATATCTTTTTTTTTATTTTTCTTAATTTCTGCTTTTATTAGACTATGCAAAATTAATTAATTGGTTTTCATAACCCAGTCAGGTCAAAATTTGAAAACTTGTAAAAAAAATTTATATGTTTAAATAACCAGATAGGGTTTTTAAAAAATTTTTAAAAAATTTTATAAAATTTTTATATATAAAAATTAAAAAAAAAAGCTAGCCGGCCGGGTCTGTTTAAAAGTTTCATATTATGAAAACCAAGATATTAAATTTGTGTGGCCTTAGTTGCTTTTAATTTTTTTTTTTCTTTTATTTATTTTTTTGTACTTTTTTAACTTCATACTTAAAGTCTCTGGTTAAATCTTGTAATACTCTTCTGTTTTTTTTTAATTTGTTGATTCTTTCTCTATTGAACTAGATTTCTATATACTGTTTTTCTAGTTTTTTTTAAAGATATATTTTTTTATATATAGAAAAATTAAAATTCAGTCTGTGCTAGTTGTGTTTGGCTATATAGCATTAATTTTGTATATTAAAATAAAATTGTAATATTTTTCTTCTAACTTTTTTTTTTATATTTTTGCTAAAATATTTTCTATATATATTTTTTTTTATATTTTTCTACTTTAGTTTTATCAATTTTATCTAATAAATTTTCTATTATGCATTTTGCAGCTACTCTAATTTGTGCTAATTGATTAGTTTCAGAAAATTTTTTTCTATATACTTCATATAATTTATCTCTTCTATTGTTGGTTTTCTTTTTGTTGTATTTGTTATACTGTATGTTAATTTACATGTTTATTTTGTTTTTCTTTTGTTATGTGTTGTATAGTTGTATTATATCAACAGATCTGCACTACAAAATTAAGTACTTCTCTTAGAAAATTGCTTATAAATAATAAACACTGCTATATTTTTAAGTTTTTCTTCTATAGTTTGTTGGTTTTTGACTTCTTAACTTTAGTCTTCTAGAAAACAAAGTGTTGTTTTATGTTTTCTTTTTTTTTTGTTTAGTTGTGTAAACTTTACTTCTTAGTGCTATTCTCAAGTTCTGTTAATTTTGTGTTTTTGTTTTTCTGTAGAAATTTGTGTTTTAATGATTAGCAGAAAGAGTGATTGTATATTGATAAGTTTATGATAATATTAAAATTATCAAAAAGATTATTTTATCTTAATTTTAAGATTTAATATATAAAAATAATAATAAAATTACAGTAAATTCTCCATAAGTACACCCTCTATAAGCGTATACCCTTTCTAAATATATACTTCAATTCAGGTCCAACTATATAGATGACCACCATAAATATATTTTTACTTATTGTTCTCTAAGTACATATTGTTAAAGTTTGGTCCCAAGTGCATGCATTTATAGAGGTTTTACTGTATAATTTAATAATTATAAAATTATTGTAAATTATTATAAGATGATTATAAGATTATTATTTAAGATTATTATTAGATTTTTTTAAGATTTATTTAAGATTATTATAAGATTATTATAAGATTATTTTAAGATTATTTTAAGATTACTTTAAGATAATTATAAGATAAGATTATTATAAGATTATTATAAGATTATTATGAGTATTATAAGATTATTATAAGATATAATTTTGATTATTTTATTATAATCTTTAAGATTATAATAATTAAATGAAAAAAAATTAGCTAGTTTCTGTAAAGTATATTTGGCTTCCTATTTCGGATATAGATGTAGAGCGTTCATTCTCAAACTATAAGCATATTTTAGATGATAGACGGAGGTCTCTAACTGAAAAAAATATTGCAAGGTTAAATTTTTTGTATTTTAATGAATATAGCTTCAGCGAAGATGAAGTAAATGTTTTCTAAAATATAAATTCATAATAAAAATTTAGGTTGCTATTTTTGCTAATAACGCCAATTTTACTACGTAGCTATTTTTGCTAGCTATGTTTGCTATTAATGACCACTGGCTCTGACATCAATATGCTTGTAAATTTTATTTCCGGTAATGTTTAAATGATTATATAAATTCTTATTTTTAAAATATATATATATATTTTTTAAACATTATATGAAGTTCTTTATTTGAGGCACGAAAACTACTCTGCACAATCACTCTACTATTTACACCTGTATTTATAAACAGTTAATAATTTTCTAATCAAAATTAAAATCGAGAAAATTCAGAATTGTGATGTTCTTGGACATTAATATTTATAAATTATATTATATCGATTTTTTATTGTATCACTACGTATCGCTATAATTGACTATAGGTCAGTATAATCTAATGTTCATAATTTTAATAATCATTCACGACCGCCTCTTCGACCACCGCCTCTTCGACCACCGCCTCTTCGACCACCGCCTCTTCGACCACCGCCTCCTCGACCACCACTTCGACGGCATCGATTACACCGATAACCTCTTCCAGATCTCATGCACCTGTTGCAATACCATCTAAATCTTCCCATTCTCATTTGTTCTGCTTTGACATCGTTATTATAGATGACATCATTGTCACGATAGACTTCATCGACATCATCGATATCAGATTCACCCATTTGTTCTGCTTTGACATCGTTATTATAGATGACATCATTGTCACGATAGAAGTCGATGGATTGAGAGATATTGTCAGGGGGATTTAACGAAGTTGAAGCGACGACATGAATGAGGAAAAATAAAATGATTAAAATTTTCAACATCTTGTCTTTTTTGTTTTTTTTTTTTTTTTTTTGAGAGAGCTAGATTAAGAGCATAGCACTTTTATACATAATAAAAGTGGCAAAATAAAATATATCATAGTCGAATTCATAGCTGTATAAGTCTATTAGTTTATTTTATTTGATGAAACTAAAACTATACGATAGTATAACTACAATTGCTGAATTGCTCAAAAATTTTAATTATCGTAACAGAGGTATCACACTATATGGTTTTTTTTCAACTGATTGACTTAATTTGCGCTGAAATTTGTAGTCGTATGTACTGTGCGGCACCGTTCTAGCAAAACGCTTGATATTATTCAAAATAACAAGTCACATTATAGTCTCTTAATGAATTTTTAGAAATTAATGCATATCTGGGCTAGGTGCTGAGAAAAGGGACAATTTTTTCAAAAATCGTTTTTTTGAGCTTTACTAATTCAAAAACTTAAGGAACAAATATTACCGTACAATGTACAGTACCCTCTATCCTGATTTTTCAATCTCAGATTAAGATTAGTGGAGATGGCAATAAAATCTTGCTATTCCCATCAATCCGAGATTGAAAAAAAGTAGGGTAGAGGGCGCTGTGCTTATTTTCCACATTTTATGATATTAATAAAGTTTTGCAGTATGACTCTTTAAATTTTGTATTTTCTTATAATTTATTATATATTATAGAAATTATAATATAAAAATTCATCGATATCGTTAAACGTTAATGTTAATCTTAATACTAATCACATGGTCTTATTAAATAAATCTTTATATGATGGTAGACTTGTAGATCAGATCAGATTACCTCAATTTTTTTTCGTTCCAAAATGTGAGTAAATCTTTTTTAATGTAATAGATTTTTATACTCTAATTTAACTAATAATCAAATCAAACAGGTCCCGCCTAATTGTAAAAAGTCTTCCCGCAAATTTAACTGATAAAAAATTTCGTGATCATTTTTCTACAAAAGGACAAGTTACGGATTCAAAGATTATACGAACGGCGTAACTATAATTTCATATTCATTTTTTTAATTTTGCAAAAGGAATTTCGGACGGT